CCCCCAAAAAAAAATGAATAATAATGCCGAGCAATTTTGAAGCGCAATGACGGGATCGTCCTCGTCAAGGATTTGCCACTCTTCCTCTTAACGAGTGCCCGTCGGGTACTCGAGCGCTCCTTTGCGCCGGCAAACCTTTCACTGCGTCTCCCCGCCCGCCCGCCGTCACTCTCGCCTGGCGAGTTTCTCACATTTTTCCAAACGCAAGAAAAGTCCCGAGGAGCGTGACGGGCGTCCAGTCGCATTTGGAGCCTCCCGTCATCGTCCTCAGACTTTCCCGCGTCGGTTCAAATGCGTTTTTGTCTTCCGGGCCGCTAGTAGTCGCTCGCATCTCCTCCGATTTTCCGGGACGATGTTAGCGCAGCTCTGTTGAGGCCTCGTGGAGAGTTTTTCCGGGTTTCGATCAAGGCGCGCAATATTTCCTGCGCTTTCCGGTGCCCGCTTTGCTTTGCTGTGATGTTCCGGACCTCGCTTGGGGGCCTTTCTTGGGCGACATCGTTGGTGTCGTCGTCACGCAGTTCCCAGCGAGTGCGTCGCCGCACCGAGTTAATTAACGTCCCCGACGTCAGCCCGGGGGCGACATAATAGTACACCTCCCAAAAAGACTTGACATTGAGATGGACGGATAAGTCATTAATTGCTTTTCTTATTGCCGTCGTGCCAGCGGGAAGGTCACGCCGACTTTGCGGACGGGCCCGCGGCTTCATTATGCGGCGACGGGGCCGCCGGTGGTGGTGGTGGTGGGGGGGGTACGTTAAAGGGGTCGGCGCGCGCGGATGCAAAGTCGATCGCAGATAAAAGCGGCAAAGTAATTACACCTGAGACGAGGCCGTCGCGCCGACACGCCGCCGTCTTGTCCCTCGCTCGCCGCGTAATTCCGACGGCGAGATGGACGCCCACGATAGGGCGCCGGGAGGGAATACGGCGAGATAATTACGCGCGATACTCGCCGCCGCGCGCAAAGGTGGGCGGCCAGATAAAAGGCTCGGCGGAGAGTGGCGCCGAGAAACAAAAAGGGGCGCGGTCACGAGAGAACGCGCCGGCAAAAGGATACCGGGCGGAAGGCGCGTGAAGCCTGCATGAAAAAAAAAAAAAAAAGCAAACGGCTTGCGCTCTGCGGCCTGGCCTTCAGAGAAAAGCAGCACTGATTATTTTTGGAATTGTGGCTTTCACCAGCTCCGATTGGCCGCCATCTTTGCAGAATCATCTTGTGATGGTTGAACTCAAATTGGACACGCCCACTCGGCGTTTGGGCCCGTCGCAGATGATCGCTGGATATTTTGAACTCAAAATCGTCGGGCGAGGCGCGAAGTGAAATTGCAATCCAAATGGAGCTTTACTCTCTGAAAACCGAGCTACGATGTCATCATTGCGGGACACAAAACTGAGACGCCCCCCCCGCTCGTTTTGCACTTTTGCGGTGAATGCCAGGCCAGCTCAAAACTCCGAACAAACATTGAGGGGTTTTGGGGGTTTTTTTTTCTCTTCTTCTCTGCGCCGAGCGACACGCGCCACTCCGAGGCGCTCATCCATCAGTGACGACAAAGGGCCCCGCGACGCCTCGGTTTCCTCTTTTAGCGGCCCTGATAAGACGGCACGCCGGCTTTTTCCTCTTACGTGCGATAAGCGGCGCAGATAGCGCTTTATGGCACGCCGCGATAAGAGCTCCCGCGGCCCGTCGAGGCGGCGCGGGAAGAAGGAGCCGAGCCGGCCCGGCCGAGGCGGCGTTTGCGGCGGCTTATCTGACACCCGGGTCGGCTTTCGAGTCGTTTACGTGCTAATGGGCGCCGGGCTTTCGGGGCCGTATTGATTCGTGGGGAGGAAGTTAGCTAACCTTCTGGATCAGATGGGCTCTTCTCAAACCTTCCGAGCAATCGCGCGGAAACGGACGTGCCGATTGCAAGCGTTAGCGATGAGCCGATTTGTGCCGCGCCCTTTGCGTAATTTCAGATGGTTTCGTGTCACGCTTGTTCTGCTTTCCTCCTCTTGATTTGAAATGTGGTCTTTGTAGACGATGTTGTTGCAGATTCACAGGGACCAAAAAAACAGGGCAGAAGAACCACATGATTCCATTCAATAAACAAGATCAAAGTCATTCGAAGCAAACAGTTTGAGACATCGCAACCATTCGGTGAGTCAAGAGTCCATTTTGGTCAAAACAAAAAGGAATCCCATTGTCTCCTTGGCCGGCAAACAAAATGCAGCAAGTTCCTCAATGAATTCACAGCAAAAAATGTTGTTGTCAGTGCAGCTGCTTGGAACGATGATGCGCAACGTATTCAAGTGCCGCCACCCGCCCT